CTACATAATATAGGGACAAGTGCTATCCCGAGTAAGTTGTTCAGGTGACCAGACATCTTATCTTAGACCGTTAGGTCCTACCTGGCATAAATATCGCCAAACCACATGAGCTGCAGGATGGTGTCACAAGATAGCGGAGGAGACACATTCGCACTTACGGAGTCCGTTTTTCCGAAGCACCGCCAACGATGTAAATCGCTGTATATCGTTGTCGCAAGATCTGGACCAATCATCCGAGGCTTGTGTACCTGTGCATACCATGACCTGGTGACCACTCTGAAGATATCCCACGCTCCTGGAGTGCAGGCTTGTCAGGCTCACCACCAGGATAAAGGCAATCAATGACTGGATTTAGACAGTACGAGAATCTACGGCAAGAAAAGAATTCTCTGAGAAAATGAAACTCGTCATGAGATGAACAAGAATCGGCGATCAACCTGCCTGTGCTTGTTATCTTTTCTCCGGAAGACTATGCACAGCATAAGTTTGGGAATACCAATCGAATCGGCCAATAGAGACCTGTAGCATACAAGCATCAATATCTTCAAACCGTCATCACTTTAGCATGGAATAAGTCGAGAAAAGGTCAGTCGAGTGGCGACCGCAGTCGGTAGAGATATTGCTCATTGATGTGCAGCCATTATCGCATCGGAGATAAATACCGCAGAGACCTGTTTGCCACCGAACCACCGAGCGTTCAGACCTTGTACAGCTTTCTTGGCGGATTCGATTGCGTCGAACTTGACGTAAATCTCACCCTGCAGTTACGTTCAAGAACTGAATCAAGAGCTAAATGCGAATAGAATGCAAACCTGTGTCTCCCTTTCGACTTTGATGGCCTCTACTCTGCCATATTTTTCTTCACACTCGCCTTTGACATCGTCGGCAAGCTCTTTATCCCAGTCACGTTCAGTTTCCCTATAGCACAATAAAGTTTGTTAGAAGAAAATCGATTGCTTGAATGTGAACTCACTCCTCTGGGTCAAACATATTCTTCAATAAGACAGAACGGGACTGCATAGCTTGTGGAATGTTCGGTTTGTTGCTGCAAATAAGTGTAAGATAAACCGTCGGTACAATTGAATTTTACATACACAAGCTGCGGCTTCGGAGCAGGCTCGATTCTAGCAAGTTTCTGCATTAGTGCTTGACGTGATGCCGCGTTCAAATTACCGCCTATAAAAGTATTAGTAAACAATTTGAAACGTTGATCAAAACGCACCGCCAGCTTCGTCCAACGAATCCTGCTGGGCGTATCGCACAGTGCCCTTTTCGTGGACTGTATTGACTCTCAGCTGTAGCTGAAATTGAATGACAATCTATGAGTTTGCGATTTGGAATGCCCTACCGTTCTACCAGCAAGCTCGAAACCTTCCATCTGTTCAAGAGCCATTCTGGCATCTTCGGCACGTTTATATCTGCTAAATTTAGCGGATGCTTAAAAGGCAAGACAACGTTCACTTACTGCACAAATGCGTAACCTTTGCTGCGCCCGGTCATAGGGTCCCTGTGCAAATCGACAAATTCCAATTCCCCGAAGGGTTCAAAGACCTGCTTGATATCGGATTCGGTAAGGTTGAAATGCAAGGAACCAACGTAAAGTCTGGAAAACAACACGTCACAACTTTGGAGCGAGTAGCTGAGGAGTTTGCTCACTGCATAGCTCCATGAGGCGCATGAACGCCAGGCGGAAGATTTAGGTTCCTCGATGAACTATTAGATAATAGAAACACGCCACACCTGCAAAACTCACCCGTCTCCTGGATGAAGCCTATTCCTTTCTGACTCAGTCAATTGAACCATGATAGGGAGACCCATTACGACTGTTCCGCTCAATGACATAGCTTTCTCTACCAAATCAATCGACCGGAACTCGACGTATCCAATACTACCAAAAGGCATGAGGATCTCAAGAACAATATCAGGAAGTGATGGAACACACCCTTTAGAGCGGCGCGACAGCCGGTCCGTGACAATCCTAGAATCCATTACTGTGCCTTCACCGAGTTTATCCTCGAAAAAGTACCCAAGGTCACGCGCCGTGAGACGAGCGGCAAGCTGAGAAACAAAGACCGACCGAGCTTCCGAATCGTCTTCTTTAGGTTCGTCAGGATTGTAGTCTTCTTGAGCCTCGTAAGTAGGTGAGGGTCGTCTGAATATTATGAGTAATAAGTCACAGTGATGCGAAAGTAGCGTACTTGATTGGCGGGGTACTCATCCTTAACGAGACCTTGTCTGGCTCCTCCTCGTTAATTGAAGTGTCATTGATGGAAGGACGTTTGTCGGGTGCAGGATCCCTTTCCCTCCGGAACCGAGGGGGGTCATCGAACTCGTCTCGTGGGTCACGATACCTACGTTCACGTGAGCGATCTCTACGGTCATAACCCCTTCGTGGACTGTCCTTGGGCGGAAGTCCAGCAGAAGACTCGTCCATGTCATCGTGTCTCTTCTTCTTCAAGCGTTCATCCGGGGGTTCATCAGTTTCATCCCTCTTGCGGCGCCTGTCACGGTCTCCCACATCACGTTCACGGCGATAAACGTCTCCCCGCTCTCGTCTATCGTCGTCACGATGACGCCTGTCTTTGTCTTTTTCACGATCGCGGTCCCTGTGGGACCTCTCGCGCGAGCGATCACGGTAATCTCGTTCACTTCCTCTGTCACGACTACGTCGTCGTTTGTCGTCATAATCTCTTTCTCTGCGCTTTTCACGACGGTCACGGTCTCGCTCATGCGACCCAGAACGAAGAGACCGCTTCGTGCGATGGGTATCAGTGGAATGGTTGCGAGACCTCATGAGGATATCTGTAGGTAAGTTGAAACAAAACAATGAGTGTGGACGACGCACGATTTTCGGTTGGGGGATATGTCTATATCCATATTGCTTGGTGGTGGATTTCGCTTGTGGTGGACAGTGTTTGAGTTGCTTGCAGTGATTTGGAACAAACATGCGAAAACTTCATGTGGCAACACAGCCACAAATTTAAATGTGATTTTTGGATAGACAGTGTATATACAAAGGACACGATACATGTAAGTACTTAAATGTGGTAGTACACAGGGCCAGGTGCTTGGCCGATGAAAATTGTCTATAAAAGCCCAGCCAACCTTGCTCTGACGCGCTTCTCAGCCTTGACGAGCTCCATCTCCTCTGATCGTTTATACAGCTCATTCAGGGGGTTCGTATCACCTTCCTTGTCGAGATCATCCTCAATTTGGCTGAAAGCCTCACAGAATTTGCCGCTCAATATCTGCACGGGAGGATTCAGCAGGGTTTGGAAATTAAAAAAGAAAAATCATGCCTGGTTGTACAGGATGTCCTTGAAGTGTTCCCGCATGGCTCCTCCTTCGAGCTTGAGTGAACCACTCAGTTGACCATACTGGGAGACAGTAGAGTGGTGCTTGAGCTATTGTTTTTTTTACCGCGCATCAGTAACATATATCATTTTACTTCATACATATTTCTTACCTGTGCGACGAAACCATCATCTGCGGCTCGCTCGAAGATCTCTGCAGGTTCTTTCGACATCCACCTAGGAGTGGATTAATTCATTACAAATAAAGTCTGTGAGAGAAAACTCACATTTCGTAGCAAAGGGCCTCGTCCGAGCATCCAGCATCCTTTAGGACATTGAAAGCTTCCCTAACGGCAACTATGTCATTTACGGTGGCGTTTGAAAATTTGGTAGTATTCAAACCTGAACATCATAATAATGTTGGGCCAGAGAGCCTGTTCAGCGAAGAGATCCATTACAGTCTCTTCCCGCACTGACGAAGCAATAGCTCCCTGTTTGGTTGCACCAATGGCACGGGAAAGTGCAAGAGCTGCATCCAAGCCTTTGCCGGTTCCATTTTGCTCGACGGAAACAAAGCAAGGGAAACCACGGCCCTTCTCGTGGAGAGAGCGCACTGAAGAGCCAATCATCCTGTAAAAAAGCGACAGCCAGGGATTGTGTAACTCGACAAAATGGTACAGTTATCGACTTACCGTGGCGCAACCATAACAACATCCTGCCCTGGCTGGAATTTTAACAAGTTGAAGAAAACATTGTACCCGGAAGCAACAACAATGGTGGCATTACTCTTCAACTTAGGCGAGAATTGCTCATTGAACACGCGGGGTTGAACCTGGTCTGGTATCAGGATAAAAAGCACTAGGGATTCCTGCAATTAGTTAGAGTTGAACAGCACAAATTCATGCATACCATCTGCAACTTCAGCAGCTGTTGCAAAGTCGTGTTCGACGTGAAAGCCTTTGGCTTTCGCAGTCTCAGCATACGAATCTACCCGGTTGGCAATCAGGATTTGATCATTGGGGATACCACTGTCGCGTAAGTTCTGCGCTTGTGCAGACCCCTGATTTCCAAAGCTAAGAAATGAAATGAACGGGGTCCGAATACACTAGCGGACTCAAGGACTTGCCCGAGGAACACAATCTTCTTGTTGCTCAGGACACCTAGGTCGGCGTCAGAGTCATAGTAGCTGTAAAATAAAGAACTTTTAAGATCCTCGTGACGTTTTAAGATAATCAGACACACATCTTGGCTTGTCCCATGATAAATTTAAGTCGGGAGGGGAGAGTGTGCTTGCAGAATACCCATTTCCCAGTATCATAGGTCCTTATAAACCCAAAGCGGGGAGCAGTAGCCGAATAACAGTCCCAATGGCCAGTCACGTTCCCAAATTTTAGATATCGAAAGGAGGTGTGATGAACTTGTGCAAAGGTCATGAGGAGCACAAGATGATAGAAGACCCAGTTCGCGGACCGGTCGACACCGTCTACCCGTACTTCATGGGGCCCGGAATTCCGGATGGCGCTGTATATAAAGAGATAAATTCTTTGAGTCGTTTGACTATGGCTTTGCTAGCGAACAAGATCGTGTGCATAACTGGATCGTCTCGAGGTATTGGCCGACATCAGGGAAAACCTCCCGCGGGAATTTTGCAAATGCGACAAAAATTTCTCGAAATTCGCATAATATTTTCAAAAGTTGTCAACAAAGCTAGTAAATAGTTGCGTATGCGTGACGATCAGTGAATGGGCTAACAAAAAAGTCTCTACACAGTTCCAAAACGTTGCTGCTAGTCCAATCCCGAGGCGCAGAGCGGCCAAATTTCGGTATAAGATGTACACTGCGTCGAATATCTTTCACAGATATTATACTAACTAGCTGTTCCCCATTTTCGTATGATCGCGAGACCTTGTGCATACCATGATTTCTCTCGCTTGTCCCGGTGAATGGCGAAAACCACTCGACGTAGGCCAAATGTTTAGGGATCAAGATATGGGAGGGAAAAAGGCTAGCGTGATGTTTCTCGGGTATCGAAAATATAACCCGCACTTGGGCTACACGGTAACCTTGTATGATTCATCAGTGACTTGAAACAGTCAACCAAATGATATACAGACCTTCCACACTCTTCTCTCCCCCATTGCCACAGTTGACAAGAACTGTATCGAAACGTCCTGGCACGGTATTCCCTCGCTTATCTCTTCGTGCAGGCTGACAGTGAACTGAATCAATGGTAACACTTTCATCTTTATGGCCAGCGGAGTCGACCGCATTGTACCTGACCTTATGGAAAATAGGAAGCGAGGCGAAGGGGATATATACATGTCCAGCGGCATGTTCCACCTGAGCTCGAGTTGTTGCGTCTGGGCGAGTGTGAAGCACAATATAACGAGCAAGGGCAGCTCGAAAAAAAGAGGCACCATAGTCGTCTCTAAGGGAGTCGATGGTAGCGGCCTTGACAGATGGATGTTTCGTCATCTTGTATTCCCTGGCATACTGCATATCTGGCGGTAGACGCGATTGCGGCAATGGATCACCAGCGAGGCGCCAATGAACATAACTGGCGTGCCATAGAATCTTCTCCTGCCGTTCAAGCCACAGAGTCATTTGACTGTACTCGTCCTTGTGGTTTGTTGCACGATATGCATCCTTGGCGAGGTCGATATGAAGTCGTTCGGTATATTCTGTATTATAGTTGTCAGTCGTGCCATACTCTTGAATCATATGGAGGTAGTGCCGGTAGGAGTGAAGCTTTGGAAGATTAAACTGCGTTCGGATGCCAAGTGTGACAAATATGTCTTTGTTGTCATGAAAACGGGTCAAAGCTTCATCAAGGAGTTGCAGTGTCTCCGCTGAGTGACATGGATACTGTGCTAAGTACAGGAAGTCGAGGAGTCCGCGAAGAGTTCGAACAAGCTTAGCGCTTGAAATGTTGTTGGGAAGGGGAATGTCGATAATAACACCCAGAAGAAAGCGGCAAATCTGATTGTGCTCAGCACCACTGACTCTTGCGAGACTAGAGATGCCCTTGTTGAAGATGCGAATATTATGGTTTGGAGGGAGTCGACGGCAACGGGCATCAATCTCTGCTTCTCCAAAAGCCGATTTGATCCAAGCAATCATGTGTTTCACGAGTCCTTGATATAGCTGGTGCAATACGTCGGGGGTAATCGCATGGAAGATATTCGACTTCGGAAGACACTGCAGATTTCGAGACTGTGTGGCATGGCGGTGATATCCAGCCACAGTCAGGCCTTCTTTTCCACATGGACGACATTTTATGTTGCCTCTGATACTGTGCATTGTCGAGGATGCGATGGAAATGTTGGCTTTGGTGCTTAAGTGGTGAGTGGTGACGAAACGAGGTAGCCGAGGTAGATTTAGTGTTTAGCTTGCGGGCGGAACATGAACCTTCTTCAATTCGAACCACTTGTTACAGGTTGTCTTCCCCCATCAAAATTTCCCTCTTTTAATTCGCTTCTTGCTTCACACTCATTTCGTCAGTCTTTTTCTTACAACTATATTTTACTTACCATGCCTCCAAAGGCTCCTGTGACACCTGGAGAAAAAGCTGCAGCAAAACGGCTGCAGAAGAAGGTTGAAATGGCATCCGCACACTCTGCTCAAGCAGCCACCCCTTCCGAAATTGAAACCTCAGAGAGCGTTGGTAGTAGGTTTTTTTTTAATGGATGAAGTGAATCTTTATGTCTCCTAACACCGCAGGGCCAATACGTTAACACATCTTGTGTGGAACGGCAACAACACAATCAATCTCCTCAGTCAACAACCTCATATCCAAGTAATTCTTCATGCTGCCATTCAGCTTGTCGAACGAGAGCTGGTATTTGAGTGCTACTTTCCACGACCGAAACATCGCCACACCATGATGGTCAACTTAGTACTTGAAGCCGCATCATCAGCAGAGCATAAAGAAGTCTTACAGCGCTTGGAACAAGACCAAGCTTACATGAAAGCTTTCACCAGAGTGGTGAGTTTCTTGTCAATACTTTCGCAACCCACAATTCTCATGCAAGTGGTGCTACTGATTAGCCAGATGGGCGTATTGGGTTGATTCGCAAGAAACTCAAGGAGATTTCGGATCGCGTCGTTCCTGGTGCATATGGGGTCAAGACGGGTGATGACGAGAAGATCAACCGCCTGCTCAATCTCCTGACTTTCATTTACAAGTTTGACACCAAGGTTCGGTTTAGCTCATCGCAAATGTTGATCCTCTTTGACTTTTAGGACATGACAGGGCAATCCCATCTTGAGTCAGCCATTTGACCATCCCGCTATCAACACTGTATGCCAGTTAGCCTTTTTTACGAGTCAGGACCAGGTTGGGAAGAAGTATAAGGATCGGTTTGTCTCTGTGCTTGATGACAACGATGAACCCGAGATCCCGAGTGCCATGGTCTCAGCTGTGGTTACTGCGGTGCGTCGTATTCTAACTATTCAAGCGCTATCTCACTGTGTTCTACCAGATTTTTTCTTCCCTACTTGATCTGAAGTCCGTTGTTGATGTAGGTCGCGAGCGTGGTGATTTCGGGCAAAGTCTCATCGGCATGTTTGACAACAATATGGAAATGCTCAACGGAATCTACACCAAGGGCCCGCATGTTTACCATTCTCTCATGGCTCGAAAATACAAGGCTGTTAGGTATGTGCTAGTCTCGCATCTTTGTTGCATGCTGCTCATAACTTTCTGCAGCAATGTGGTTGACTTTGCATCCGCCAAGTTGAAAGCAGCATTTGCGCGAATCGATTTCGATGGGATGAGTATCGACTAGGGCATTCCTGATAGCACAAGAACTTTGCGTTACAACTTTTGTCTCATTTCCTCGTTTTCATATCTTGTGATTTGCGATATTCTAGTATATACCCTGATTTAATCACATTATAATCATTTTGTTGTATTCATGTGGATTTTTGTAAATTTTCACCCATCCGTAGAGGGACTTGGAATATTTTAATGTATTTTCAGAAAGTCAGAAAATTTCAGAAAATCTTATGAAATCTTCGCGGGAGGTTTTCCCTGATGGAGCATGCGCGGTCGAATCGGCCAAACATGGAGCAATTGGTTTAATATTGCATTACTTTGGAGACCAGGAAACCGAAGTGGAGCTTCAGTCTTTGAAAGAAGAAATATATGTGACGACTCACAATCACTGTCAAGTAGTCGGTGTGCCCGGTGATATCGCGAATTCGGAAACTTCACAAAAGGTGCGCTGTTTAGATTATAAACGACCAACTGTTCGAGTTCTCACAATATCCGAAATAGATCGTCGAAGCAGGCGTCGAAGCGTTCGGACGAATCGGTAGGACTTGTAAAACAAGATATATCTTAACTAATGCTCAGACCAGATGTGCTCGTCAGTAATGCGGGAATTTGTCCATTCGCTGAGTTCTTGACGATGCCCCATGCTATATGGGAACGTACCCGACAAGTAAATTTGGATGGATCCTTTTACGTGGTGCAAGGTGTGTACCCTCGTGACTGTAACATTAATATGATTCTAAGGTGATATCGCGTTTCGTGCAGCGGTGGCAAATCAAATGAAGAGCCAGGTCCCCCAAGGCGGGTCTATCATCGGTCTGGCTTCCATTTCAGCGCTCGTGGGTGGTGGATTCCAATGGTTCGTATCTTGATACATCGATGAACGAGACTTAACCTTTTAAAATGCGTAGTCACTACACACCGACAAAGGCAGGTATCTTGTCGATGATGCAAAGTTGTGCTATCGCTCTTGGGAAGTATAACATACGCTGCAACGCTATACTTCCTGGCACGATTGCCACAGACATCATAAAGAGGACCTTGCGAATGAAGAAAAGCGGGAGTATACGATCAAAAGGACTGTGCTTGGGAGACTTGGTGG